CGAGCAAAATATGTCGCAATTCGGGCATTTGAATTTTTTCTTCATTGGCTGGTGAACATTTTCGACGTGTTCCCGCAAAGTTTGTAAACGAATGAACGATTTTTCGCACATTCCACACTTCTAAATTTCAGGGAAAAAATGAAAGTAAAGCACAAAAAACAACCAATAATGAATCAAAAAAATAAAAATGTAAAAATTAAGAAAAAAAGTCACAGTAAAATGATGATTAATAAAAAAAAGCAAAATTACTTTTTGCATGTTTAATGTTTATAGTTGAAACACAAACACCTAATTGCCGGTTTTACAAATGTCAAAAAATAGTTGTCACATATATACAATCTGTCTGAAGTTGGCTCTCACAATACACAACTTATAGGTTGGTGGCGCTAGGAGTAAGTTTTTTTGAGTGCTTGCTTTTGATATTCCTACCCGGGTACACAGATAAGACCGGAAAAGATGAGTATGGTGTTGATATTCACAGTGCCATGTACCAAGGGTTGAGGTACTTTTACTGTTTACTGAAAAACTGAATACAAAAAATATTGATTATTTGTTACTCTCAAAACAGATACCTCACCAAATTATGCAACTTTCAGTAGACCATAAATTTCCAAATAATACTCGATCATATCCATCATATGAGGATGTATGGAAGTACTTGAACTCTTACACTGATCGCTTCGATGTGAAAAAACATATTAAATTCCATCATTTGGTGGACAAAGTTCGTTTGATTGAAAACAACAAATGGAATATAACTGTCAAAAATGTACCCAAAAACAAAACTGAGTCTTTGACTTTTGATGCTGTTTTTGTTTGTATTCATCAATATTCTTCTCCAAATTATCCACAATTTGAAGGCGCTGACGAATTTAAGGGAAAAATCATACATAGCCATGATTATCGTAGAGCTGAAGACTTTCGCGGTTTGTTAAAGATGATTCTTATCATTCGTTTACTTAGTATAAATGAAACTATTCTGCTAGTATTTCTAGTACTGAGCTGAATAAATTGCATTACCAGTGTATTCTTCATCCATTTATTATACAATAGAATCCATTATTCTTACCGAACACAAATATTTTGTTTACAAAACTGTACCGTTAATCCCGTCATTAGAAAAGTATTGACAATGTCATTTTGTATATGGCACTGCTGATGTATTCTTTAGGACGGCTTTCATTTATAATCATTTCAAATCGAGAACGTTTTTTGGTGTTAATTTCATTTACCCAGCTAGATAACATTCAAATCTAATCGACATTGTTGACTTGATATATTTCGTTTTACTTAATAAAATAGGAGCAGATGTTCTGGTTGTAGGCGGTGGAACGAGTGGAATGGATCTTACACTTCAACTTTCTAAGGTTGCTAATCGAATAACGTGGAGTAGACGAACATACAGCGAAACGGAAGAAATGCGAAAAAAATATGGGGACAATGTTACATTTAAAAAAAATGTGAAACGTTTTACATCAAACGGAGCTAACTTTATGGATGACACGCATCAAAATTTCACAGTTGTTATATATGGGACAGGCGTTTTGAACTTTTTTCTTCTATAAAGACATGTGTATTTCTATAAAGACACAAATAAAGTATTTTCTTGTATTTCACAGGTTATAACTATCGGTATCCATTCTTGGATGCTGACTCTGGTATTCATGTTGATAATAATAAGAAATACGTGCAACCATTGTATAAACAAATCATAAATATAGGTGTGTTTTGGATTTATTGCAGTAAAATATATCATTTTTAAATCTTTTTTTTTTTTTCATTTTTCATAGAACACCCCACTATGGCGTTTATTAGAATACCTTATAATTCGCTGCTTTTAGTGCTCGATTTACAGATGAATGTTATAGCAAGTTGAATGTTTTTTAATTACTCAAACTATCATATTTTTGACACGCCTGTATTCTATGTAATAAGAAAAAAAACTCGTTTAAGTAATGATCTTTTTTTTTAAATATATCACAATTTCTTTTTTAAATTGTTTTATCGATTCAATGTCGCACAATCTATTCATTTGATGAAGTATAGTTTCAAACAAACAATTTCCATTTGGAATCGTTTTCTTTATTGCTACCGATGATTTGGTGATATTATCTTCAAATAAATAGTTTATTTCAGATCGTTGATATGACAAGTAAGTCTCGTCGAATTTCAATCGTTACAAAAGGAATTTTGATCGCTGTCAAAATTTCCAAAAGAATCTTGATCGCGGCGACCGAAAAACATTTTTAGCAAAGAAAAAAATGGATTTTAATCGCAGAAGAAATATAAGGGCGGGACCAAAATTCATGGAGCCATTAGAATTTTCATTCTTTTAAACTCTTTTTAAATTGGGCCAAACAATTGGCTCGATCCAGTCCAAATAGTGAGCAAAACTGGTATAAATGGTTGGTAGTCGTTCGTCACAGCCAATATCGAATGCAACAATGCCTATGAAGTGCGTCACTACGACCACGGTTATAATTTTTATTTTTACATTATGTCCTTGTTCGAGAGAATTTTTCGCACTAGCCAACCCTGATGGTCCAGCTCCGATAACGGCAACATTCAAAAACTTCGACGGTAGTCCACGTACGCCCAGAATTTCAAGTATCAAAACCAAAATGATACACTTACCGCTCGGCATCACATTCATTTTGCTTGAGTTTGTAAGAAAAACAAAAATAAAACTAGTTTAATTTTCTAAATTTGATTTTCTGGTAAGAAAAAAAGGTATTATTTAGAATAAAAGAGGTGAACTTCACAAAAGAGAAAAATTATTTTTTTTTTCTTTCAATGAATCGTTTAATCTGCTCCGTTGTAGCTGATTTAGATCGAATTACAAAGTGGTATGATATTTATACTCGTTTGATAGCGGATAAGTCGCACAAAATAACAAATTATTTTCTTTATTTTTTTGCAAACGTAAAAAATACTCAATTTTTCTACCAATGTTTTTTTAGAGACGCATCATAGATAGAGTACGTAGATATAGATATCAAAAAACTTATCTTTATTATTTATTATTTATAGTAAAGGAGTTGAAAATAGTACCAACATTAGAAAATACTTCTTTGTTACCTTTTATGAAAATGAGAGCAGTTTCGAACGCATTTATACTTCATTTTTACGCTTAAAGCGTCTAACTTTACTTCTAATTTAAAAAGTCTACGTGTTTTGTTTTTTTAACAGCAGTTCTTAAAGTTAAACAAAAAAAAAGTTGTTTGATAGTATACGTCAATATTAAATTATTTACTTGCACAATGATTTGACATTTTTTTATTTGCACAAACGTTAATTTATACAAGTGTAACTTCCTTATGCAAATAAAAGTGTACTGAAGTGTAACGTTAATTATCATAGGAGTGGGCGGCAATAATATCATGAAAATACATGCACAATTTGTAATAAATTGTGCGTAGATATTTGTGATGAATTGTGCGTGTTTGGTGAAATTCTCAGACGGTGTTGATCATGATCTGAAAAGTTGAAAATTCAACTAAATTTCGAATGAGAACCTAATTGTGACATTTCTTGTCGGGGGTCAAAACACTGAGAAGCCAGTGGAGGTACTCTCTGAGAACTCAAAACATTCGAGAGTTTGAAAAAATATTGAAAATTGTCGATTTGGCAGAGGGGCATGTGAATTGAAAAAATATTAGTTCGAAAGGAGGTATTTATATGAAGGGTCAGCCAATTCTACGTACTAAAAGTCGAGATTGAAAGTTATGCAAACGCGTGGAGACACTGAGAAGCTAGTGAGGGTGCTCTCTAAGAACTCAAAACATTCGAGAGTTTGAAAAAGTATTGAAAATTGTCGATTTGGCAGAGGGGCATGTGAATTGAAAAAATATTAGTTCGAAAGGAGGCATTTATATGAAGGGTCAGCCAATTCTACGTACTAAAAGTCGAGATTGAAAGTTATGCAAACGAGTGGAGACACTGAGAAGCCAGTGAGGGTGCTCTCTAAGAACTCAAAACATTCGAGAGTTTGAAAAAATATTGAAAATTGTCGATTTGGCAGAGGGGCATGTGAATTGAAAAAATATTAGTTCGAAAGGAGGTATTTATATGAAGGGTCAGCCAATTCTACGTACTAAGAGTCAAGATTGAAAGTTATGCAAACGCGTGGAGACACTGAGAAGCCAGTGGGGGTACTCTCTAAGAACTCAAAACATTCGAGAGTTTGAAAAAGTATTGAAAATTGTCGATTTGGCAGAGGGGCATGTGAATTGAAAAAATATTAATTCGAAAGGAGGTATTTATATGAAGGGTCAGCCAATTCTACGTACTAAAAGTCGAGATTGAAAGTTATGCAAACGAGTGGAGACACTGAGAAGCCAGTGAGGGTGCTCTTCAAGAACTCAAAACTTTCGAGAGTTTGAAAAAATATTGAAAATTGTCGATTTGGCAGAGGGGCATGTGAATTGAAAAAATATTAGTGTTAAGAGTAGTAATGTAGACCGGTCATGCAATTTGTTGTGCATT